TTAAAATTATTTTTTAATTTTTTAAATATAAATTAATTATAATAAATAAAATAAATATATTCTTAACTTATTATTTTAAAGTATAAATTAAAAATTACCTTCTTTTCTTCTTTTAAAAGGACTTTTTTTTTTTTACCTGACCATTTTTTATAGCCAAAACATTTTCGGCTTTATACCGTCTAACCATCCTCAAGTCTTGCTTGTTTTGACTCCCTTTAACAATAATCTGCAAATTTTTCTTAAGACGTCCCAATGATTAAAATATTAGAAATTAAGCAATTATAAAAAATTTAAATATTCTTAATAGGTTAAAAAAATTTTATTAAAAATATTTAAATCATTTTATAATCATTTTTTTGAATAGAACAATTCTAAAATTTTAAATTCTAAGATTTTAAAATTCATTTTTTATTTTCCAAAAAACGCGAGACTTTTAAACAAAAATAAATAAACAAATTTGTCAAGAACAGGAAACGGAATTCCTTAATTGCAATATAAATGTATATTTGCGTTACTAAATGTTATGCAACTACTTCGGCTAGAAAGGCAATCACTCCTTCCCAATGAGCATTCCCAGACATGCATCAATTTCTAATTCCTGTAACTTCACACAAACCAGAAGCACATCTCAAGTACCAATAACCATAACAACTCCATACTCCATAGTACAAAGGATGAAAGGGGAAAAATGTACTAGAACTAGAACATGACCACACTTTTCAATAAGGTAACAAGAATTGGAAATGAGTCTCATAGGAGAGGTAAAACCGCGAACTACATTTCACATTTGGTACACAACTCGACAAAACAGAAAGAGAAACCCACCAAACCATAAACTAGCATTTCATTAAGCTAATTAAGACCAACCAAAAAGAAAAGTTGACTCACATACTCCATGCACGGTCAAGCCTTCACAGACACAATAAGTTCCCATGAGTTTGACGAAAAGAGATCAGTATTCACACGGCAAAACAGCATTACACATAAGAGCACATTGTGAATAGAAGCATGCATTTCAATACTCCCACTTCTTCACTTCCATACCATCTGGGGGACTTCCCTCCACCTTCTTTGTGCCAACTTCTTTCCAGTTTGTGGACAGCACTGTGCCATTCGATTCCACCTATAACATACACCGAAATATATTAGGTATGCTGTTGTACAATAACAATTATTTAGACACTTATTCTGGGTAAGAGTCTCACAAAAGATTTTTGCATGGCTCGTCTCATGTCTTCATCAGCATCCCGATATATGTCCCTGAAGAATTTGTTCAAAGCAGCATCACCATCTAGTTTTTCATCTTTCTCCTGAAAGTCAGACCACCAAAGAGTAATGCAAGTTTAAAAACCATTATTTAGTGAGTTTTGCTCTTCTCTAAGAAATACCATGGGAATTGATATAGAATAAAAAAGAACTAGATTTCAGCACACCTCCTTCTTCACATCAGCTTCCATTCTGTCCCAATCTACCCTTTTTGGTTTCGAGGATGGGTAAGTAGGTCTTTGATCTGTAGTTGCTACAAAACAAAAAATTACCAAAAGAAAATGTTATCATCCAGCGATTTCAAAATGATTTAGCTAAGGTGCTCAAGCCATGATATGCAGTTCAGACACATATTTTTACTCTGTTTTGCCGCCCTAATGGGAGCTGTCACTTTGGACCATCCTAATCAGAAATGTAACCCAGGTACACAAATCTAGATGCTTGCACACATGGGGACGCAAGCATAAACAGAAAAAACAGGCAAAATAAGGTAACACAAGTAATCTAGCACACTACTTCCAGTCCTGAAGCAAAGTGCTACAGGAAGTTTGACCTACCTGCAGGAACAATTACCCTTTGTGGAACTGCACTTTCCTGGCTGAACTCAAGAGATGTCCAGTGAATTGGTTCAGCTTTTGCTAGACGAATTTCAATTTTGGTAGACAAGACATCATATCTGCATTTGTCAGGTATTATCTGTTTGCACATGACCAAGCAAAAAATTATAAAATTAGCACTCCAAATAAAAGGCATAAGTTGGACCCAACTGTTTAACAATAAACCTATTAAGTAAAAGCAATAAAATTGAGAAAAATATATTTACTACTTCTGTACTTCCTAGTTCACAGATACCTCCCAAGTCCCAATGCTTGACAAGGTTAGAGAATCGCCATTTTCTCTAATTATTGACTGAATTGCAAATAAAAAACATGTCTTATTAATAAAGAAATTCTTGACCAAATAAACTCCATGAAATACCTTTCCAAATAAGCGAGGTTGAAAATCATATGCATCTTCACCAGGTATGTCAATTGTAACACTTAGCTACACAGCAATAAACATCATTAGCATTTCTGGTGGTCCATCTATTTGTACCCAGTTAATCAAAGCTCTGCAAAACCAAAAGAATAAACCAAAAAAGAAGAGAAAACCAATTTGCATCGTACTATTTGCTCCCCGTAGTCCACAGTAACATTTTCTTGTGGTATTTTCTTTGCAAAAATGGTTACCACCACTTCATCAGGTTTTTGATAAAATTCATGCCTGCACAAGTTATAGCAACCAGATTAACAAATTACCAACAAATCAAAAGAGCACTACCCTGGCAGGGATGTCAAAATCATGTTATTGAAATCATCATGAATGTAACAACAATTTCAGAGGCAAAGCAGAGCGACAAACCTGTACTTGGGTTTGGCAGGTGTTTCAATTGGCACCTGATTAGTGAGTTCCTTCACTGGCTCAACATCTTGTGCAGATACTATATGTTCTGGGACCTTTTCCAATGTTGGCTTTGATAAATCAGCAGCTTCCTCTAACAAACATTCCATGTTCATAAGAAGATCAGAAGAAATATCATTCAGGATTACAAGGGTAATTTCTATAGTCTGACAATTTTCATATACTTTGTCCTGTCTTCCAATTTTCAATTAAAAGCTTTTAATGCATCTAATTCCTAAAAAGATCAGCAAAATTAGTCAGCTAAAGCAGTGTAACATGGTAATCAAACCTTATTACCTGCAATACATTCATCACACTCTTTGATCAAGTTGATAAATCTTGAGTCTCCTGGAGAGAAAGAAGCACCAATTTCCAAAGCTGTCTTAGCAGTTTGAAACTCCTCAAGTTTCTTGCACGCAAAGCTGTACATATTCATTAGATAGTGAAGAACGAGTTTTTTCATTTGTATGATCACTCAAAACTTTGCATTTTATCTAAACTGTATCAAATGAAAAAGAAAATTGGCTGTTCCAAAGTCATTGTGCATCAAATGGGATTGATTGACCCCACAATAACAAACGGCATAAAATAAATTTTAAAACGAATAAAAACCCCTAATGATAATAGCTGGGATGAATTCCAAATGCCAGAGCAAAACAAAACAAGTAACTGATATACACAGCAAAGTAAACAATGAGGAACCAGTTGCCCTGAGGAAAAAATTTGTTGACATAGCTTCCAGTGATCAAGTCAGAAACACTTTTCAGTGAAATTAATAAGTGAATATTACTGATTGCACGAGTTTACTCTGATGAATATAGCTTATCATGCCCCGCAAACAATTCTTTTCCTATAAATTTATCTAGAAACGAGCCATAGTAAACTAGATCAAGCAATGTATGCAATAATAAATAAAACAAACATAAATTCTCAAAGGGTTAAAAGTTATCCCCTCCAATGTACTCACCCTTTCCGAAAGTAAGCTTTAGACATAGATGAGTCCAACTCAATCGCTTTGTTAGCATCAGCCACAGCCTCTGCGCGATAAAATAACAGGAATTGGTTCCAAACCACTCAAACATCACTAGCAAAACAACTTAACTAGAAAAAAAAAAAATGATATTCTTCGGATCCAAACAGAGTAAAGCTTATCACAAACTCGAAAACAAAGCAATTGTATAACAAGTTCTTCGAAAAGAGGAACAAAAACAGCTCAAAAGTAGGAGAGTGAAGCAGTTACCGGTGAAGTTGTTGAGCTTGATGTTGGCCTGAGCGCGATCGGCATAGAGCTCACCGTTGTTAGGGTTGAGAGCGATGGCTTGAGTGTAGAGATCCACGGCGAGCTCGAAGTGGTCGTCGATGAACGCCTCCTTAGCCCTGGTTTCAAGATCGGAAGCCATTGGCAGCGGAAGAGGAAGAGCAGAGAAGAAAAGAAGTCTCTAGAACTAGGAGTGGCGAATTGGTGAGAATAGAATTGACTTGCAATTTGCAATTGCTAATAATAGATGTGGCTCTGTTCAGAGAGACGCTTTAACCTTTAAAGTAATTAATAAAAAAAAAAAAAGGAATGGATGTTTTATTAAGTACAATTTAATCTATAAATTTATTAAATTGAGATTAAGAGCTACCAACCTAGATTTATAAAAAAGATAAGGTTTTAAATTATATTTAAAAAATTAAAATTTTAATTTAAA